TTAAACCCTTTAGATTAATTTATAATTCACAAAAGCAAATTTAACCTTCAAAGTCACCAGGAACACTACAGAGGAAAAAACTCCAGAACCTTCGGGAAAAGAGAAAACTTGATGCTTGGTAGCCTACTGATAATAACAAAGATGGCCTAAATTCTTTAGCAGTAATTTGTTACTATTTCAAGACCAAAAACCAGATAACTTGTACTAATGAAACATAAATGCACAGACTTTTAAAAGCAGATCCATTAAACATTCATTACCTATTTCTCCTACCACCCACTCTTGATTCATTTCCTGAACTAGCAAACACAAACACAGAACATTGGTCAAATCTGTAGAAAATAAGACTCCTCAACAAACACAATTCTTTCAAATTACATAGCATGACTTTTTAAATTTTACAACTTCAGATTTTTAATGGACTATTACAAAGTTAGAAGAACTAATGCCAAGGTAGTCATGTTGTCAAGAGATATTGCTTATCATTTTTCTAACTCTAAAATAAGAGGTTTACAAAAATGTATTTTATAGTCTCACAAAAGTGCTTCAAGTACTGTCAAATTTCACTTTAAAGATTAATATAAACAACCAATATGTTCAATGTGTTATAAACCAAATTTTAACACACTTTAAGATAACCAACTGATTTGCTATAAAGTATTTGGTGCTGGCTTCCATAAAGATTCTTTTCCCATTTCTACTTTAATAAAAGAAACCTAAAATTACAAAGTGAGTTGATCTAAAAACACATTAGAAAACAAATATAAATATTTAGAACCTCAACCATGTAAAACAGAATTTTCTGGCTGTAATACAACCAAAATGAAATATATAAATAAACAAGAATTGTTACACACAGACATAGAGCTCAAATTTATGCACTACTCAAGGACAACTTTTTTCAGTGACAAGTTATAGTCTGACACAGTAGAATTCTGTAAGAACTTCTGAATCTGAATATATCCAAGATCCTGTTCAATCAATTCTAAAATCCCAAGTGTATGCTGACAGGAATAGGAGAAAACTAACCAATAGAAATTTTTTAAAAAGACAGGAAAATACATGGATTTCAAATTTCAGATGTCCTACAAAAAACACAATTAGATAAGTTGGGTGTGGTGATATACACCTGTAATCCCAGCACTCACTAAACAGTGAGTTCAAGACCAGCCTGAATTACACAGCAAGACTCTGTCTCAAAAAAATACTGTTCTTGGGGCCAGGGATTTAGCTCAGTGGTTTCACCGACTGCTGCGCAAGTGCAAAGAAGGTACCGAGTTCAATCCCTGGTACCAAAAAAAAGAAAAAAAAAAAAACCGTTCAAGGATCTAATAAAAAAGAGCTCCCCTTACATCCCTGCCCTCAAAAAACCCCACAGAAATTAAATAGGCCAAACTCTTTATAATAAATTTTATTTAACAAAAGGCATATGTCAATATTATCAAATGAGGACAGTTATTAATGTCTAGAGACACAAAACATATAAAACTTCTAACTGTACCACACCTTTTGACAACAAAGACACTGTTGTACCATTTCATATTCTACCACGGTAATACCACAACATCTGGTTAACCGCAAAGATTTACGGTCTCAAGAGCCCTGGTTGTATACTTTTGTATTTCAAACGAGCAAAATACAAGAAAATCTTAAACATGAATACTATTATATATACAGTATGATGAGTTTTATAGCCATACAAGTCTGAAATGTTCTTATGTCAATTTCTATAGAATATGATTCAGGACTGTCCCACCAGGTGAGGTAAAGTCTAGCCCATGAGGTTATGTAAAAGTAGAAAATAGAGGAGTACCTTTTGTTTTTACCAACTCTTTCAAAAGATAGGTGAGAGGGGACAATACATCCAATCAAGGATGCAACAAAGATTTATAAATATTCCAACTATTTCTAACTAGGCTATTTTGAAAATTAAAAATATTTTGTTAAGTACATCTAAAAGGCTCTAACATATTAACTGGTCAGCAAATATTAGTAAAACAAAAGAATTTATTTAATCAATTAAAAATTATCAAGTGCCCTATCTGGTAGCTTATACCTATAATCTCAGCACTCTGTGAGGCTGTGGCAGGAGGATAAAAAGTTTGAACCTTCGGCCGGGGGATTTAGCTCAGTGGTTTCACCGCCTGCTGCGCAAGCGCAAGGACCAGAGTTCGATCCATGGTACCAAAAAAAAAAAAGAAAGTTTGAACCTAGTCTAGGCAATTTATCAACCTAGATTTTTTCAAAATTAAAAAAAAAATTTTTTTTTACAGGACTACAGATGCAGCTGAGTTTAAAGACCTTGAGGTCAATCCCCAGTAACAAAAAAAGAGAAAGAAAATGTCAGGTTACCTTCATTTTACTAACACATCACAGAACCAATATTTGGTGTCTTTTAAGTAAAGATTTCTTTAAAGTATGTGCTGAATCATTAAACAATACAGGAGCATTTTGATATTTTTTAAAGTATTACATTCCACTAGCATTCATGTGTTAACACTGCAGAGAAGTCCTGATTGTACATTTTCTGTTCATCTCCAAATGCGTACTAAACAGAAACTATCCTTAGGCCAGAGGATCTGTAGTTCAAGGCCAGCCTGGGCTACACAGACTCTGTCTCAAAAAAAAAAACCCACCAAATTACCAAGTTTCCCCTATCAATATCATAACTAAGAACAAAGACAAAAAAAACTGCAGAAAGGTAAATTTTTTTTTTTAGAAAGGTAAATTTTTTATGAAAATGTGATAAGTACCATCCATCAATATGAAAAATTTGATCCTCAGTCCATCATAGTTGAATGATCTAATGCCTGGAAAGTGCTTCAAACTCATTAGAGAAGTAACATTCATTCTATATTACAGTGTATAAGAAATACTATCGACTGTACAGACACATCAAAAAAGAAAATATTAATTCTGATCCAAATATACCCTATTAGTTTTTAAATAAAGCAGCACGGGAATCTTTCTTTCTAAAAGGGATATGGGAGAAGATTCAGACATTTTGTATTTGTTTATATATGCCAAGAAGGAAAGGACCACAGACTGAGAAGACTAATACTATTTTCACTGTCTCAAATTTCAGATTTACAGGAGGCTGAGGCAGGAAGATTACTGTGAGTTTGAGGCCAGCCTGGGATACACAGTGAACTCAAGGCCAGCCTCAATTACAAAGCTAGACCCTGTCTCAACCCCGCTAATCAAATTTCGGATTTATACCTTGCACATAATGTGCACTGTAAAGTGGTATACCACAGTTTCTGAACTCAGGCTCTGTAATCAAACTTGTTCTGTCAGTACTACAGATTGAACTCAGGGTCTTCTAAGCTAAATCTCAAGCCTTGCTCTTTCTTTTTTTTTTTTTTTTTGAAATAAAGGGTCTGGGCTAAATTGCTAAATTTCCCATTGGTGGGCTCCAATTTCCAATACTTCTGCCTCAGTCTCCCACAATGTTGGGATTACAGGCATGCCCAGCTTGTAAATAAAACTTAAAAGTCAAATCCTTCCTTTACCTAGCTGGATGAGACTGTGCACTCCAATAATACCAGTATTCAGGAGACAGCGCTATATAGTGAGTTCAAATCCAGTCTGAACTACATAGGAAATCACTCTCTCAAAAAAACCCAAAAAATTTGAATTCAAATCTTTGCTTTAACCTGGGTAACTTTCTATGCCTGTTTCCTCCTCTGCAAATCAGGAATTTAAAAAGTATCTACACCAGTGGGCATCTGCAGCAGTTAACTTACCTAAAACACGTTAAAAATTAGTTTGGACAAGTGCTGACAATTTTAGAATGTAAATAGTGGATACTTGAAGGTTCAGTTTGCTATTACTGATAAATTTTAAAGTTTTTATAATGAACATTTTTTGAAAAACTTAAGAATGAAGCAATCAGGGCTCAATGCATGCTATTTTTATTACCCTTCAGGCTACTTATTACAACCGAAGGAAGCACCAGACAAGCTGGTAATACCTGCACTTTGGGAGGCTGAGGAAGGAGGATCCAAAATAAGAGCCCAGTCCAGGCAACTTTAAAAGATCCCATCTCAAAAATATAAAGGGCTGGGGATATAGCTCTTGTAAAGTCTCTAAGTTCAACGAGGGGAGGGGTTAAAAGAAGGAATATATGAAACCACTAGTGTGGTTTCTTACACTGGTGTGTATTTAGTATGTCATTCTTCCCAATCTGTATCCAGTAAATTTTTGATCATTTGTATTTAATATTTAAACATAACCTCCTACACTTAAGACCCACCTCTGAAAAGTATACAACGTTATAGTATCAACTGTCAATGGGCTGAGACAGTATCAAGAATGCTGACTTCGCTGATAATTTTGATAATGAGTTTCATTTAACTGAAAGAAAAATTTGTGAAGGTCTCAGTGGAGACTAATCAACACTGGAGACAGGATACTAGAACAGTACACTGGTCAGATGAGCATTCTAGTTAGTGAAGACTTTAGCTACAAGAAGAGTGGACACCATACTCTTTCCTAACCAGACACAAAACAGATCTAGCAATTCATCAATAAGAGTCAAAACTGGTGTCTTTTATCCGACATCAAAGTTCGTGATTCTTTTTTCCAACGTCTAAAATCAATTATCCATTGTGAATGAAGAATGGTAAAAATGGTTGTATTCATAGCATTTAAAACGATATAACGTTAATTCCGCCTTTGGAACTCTAGAGGGCACCAGAAATATGCCCTCCTTCAAACCACCCCTCCTCTCCGGTAATGTGAGCAGCCGCAGAAGCCTGTCGTCTGGTTGCTGAGGTTGGTATTGCAGCAGGAGCGATGTCTGCAGCGGAGGAAACAGCAGCGCCCGCTCCTTGCGGCCTCACCAGCCAATACTCGGGATTCGCCCCGGGGGCAGCTGCCACCCAAGGCGAAGCTCCTCCCCCCTCAAAACAACGGGGAGGGCCATATCCCAAGGCTGAACCCCTACAAACTAACAACGTTCACTTTAAAGAGCAACAAATTAGGGGCAAGGGACTCACAATGTGGGTGTTTTCCTTCTCGCTTTCTGCCAAGGATGCACCACAGAGAGTTGAAGACGATTTCTGGTCCTGGGATAAGAGAAAAAAATGAAAAATGGATCAAGACCAACTAACCTGGTGAGAGCACTAAGCCTTTTCCGCCAGAAGGAGGCAGAGGAGGGAATAAGAGGTCAAGGAGGTTCAGCCCTTCTATTATTACCCCCATCCCGAGCCTACGTAAGTGGAGCAAAACAGCGTAGCATATTTGGGGCCAAAACCCATATGAAAGGCAAAATCTGGAGGGGAGGGGGCCTTGAGGATCAAGCCCGCTACTGGGAAAGGGGGTGGGGGGGCAAACGTTGCCCCGACGCCAGCGAGGAATTTGCATTCCCTCCTCAGTTCGAAAGCACCGCGTAATCCCCGTCACTCTTGGCACCTATGTGGAGGTAAAGGGGCAACTCACGTCACCCTTGGGCCGATATCAACCATATTCGCCCCAAGCAGTTGCCCTGGGCCTGATGTTTGCCCCCCCTGCAGTCGGCGACCGGCAGCGCTGCCTCCCCGTCCGCCATTAGAGACCCAGCCAAACAATACGCGGGGAGCGAGGGCCGCGCAGCGCAGCGCCGGCGGGGAGCGGGGCGGGGGATGGCACCCGGCGGGGCGCAGACGGCAGCCCCTGCCCCGGAAAACTTGGGGACTCCAGCTCGGGCCGAAGGGGTCGGAGCGCGACCCCGAGAGCAGCCAGCCGGCCGGAGCACCTCCCCGGTCCCCCACCGGAGAGAAAGGAAAACACTCGCGACCTCCCGCCGCCCCCGCCCCGCAGCCCCGCCGCTCCGCGACCCTAGCCCTGGCGTCCGCCTCACCCGGCTAGCCCAGCCGCGCCCGCACTCCCGCAGCCCTCGGGCCGCACGCCAGAGAGCCCGGGACATGAGCGCAGCACCCAGCAGCCCCGAGGCCCCGACGCGCAGCGGCCACGGCGTCCGCGCCGCGGGGTGCTAAGCACGGGTCGGGGGGAGGCTCCGGAGGCCGCCCTCACCCATCTCCGCCTCCGCCTCCTCCTCCGGAGGCTGCGCCGCTCCCAGCCACCCCCACTCTCGGCAGCCCTGGACTGGACAGACAGCGGGGATAAACCTCACCCGGTTCTGGCTACGGGCTCCGCGGAACGAACCTCCCCTCCCCCGGCCCACCCCCCTTCGGCGACACGCACAACTCCGCTCGGTCCAGTCCCGGCTTTAGCGCTGGTGAGGAGGAGGAGGCGGAGGCGGTGGCACGGCCGAGCCCGCAGAGGCCCCGCCCTTCGCGCTTTCATTGGCTGCTCGCGGAGGCGGGCCAGGGCGTCTTGGGCACGTCCATTGGCTAGGTTGGCCTTCCTTCAGGACGCCCTCGGCAGGGTGGTCCGAACGCCT